GTGTGATGATCTCAGAATTGGACCCAATAAGTAGTACTGGATAAATGAAAAACAACTGGCAATATCCTGAATACCCCTCACCCAAACTTACCTTAAAACATCTTGTGGGGAGCAAAGCTGACTGATGAGCAGAAATTTCTCCTAGCTTAGTGCCATGTATCCAAAGCCAGGTGGTCTTTCTCATTCATCCCAGGATTTTCATGGGTTGGCATTTGTCTGCTCTCCAAATCAAGAATCTGGAGATGCAGATCCGCAGAGAGATAAACCCACTTTTTCAATGCTGGAAATGATTTTTGGGAGTCTTGGAGGACCTTTGCTCCCACATGCGAGCAATTTTCTCTATGCCTGCGTTTCACTCCCTGTTAAATGAGGATCATACTGACCTATATCACAGGGCTGACATGAGATTTAATGTGCATAAAGCACTTGGCAATCCTTCGACAAAAAAGACTAAGTTTTATTATTATTACACTAGACTAAACACCACAGAGAGCTTGTTCCAGATTATGGTGGCTATGCTGGGAAAAAGACTACTAGGCTATGTCTACACTGGCCCCTTTTTCGGAAGGGGCATGCTAATTTTGAAAGTGGGAATAGGGAAATCCGCGGGGGATTTAAATATCCCCCGCGGATTTAAATAAACATGTCCGCCGCTTTTTTTCCGGCTTTTCCCCAAGCCGGAAAAAAAGCGGCAGACATGTTTATTTAAATCCGCGGGGGATATTTAAATCCCCCACGGATTTCCCTATTCTCACTTTCAAAATTAGCATGCCCCTTCCGAAAAAGGGGCCAGTGTAGACGTAGCCCTAGGGAATACTGAAAGAGAATACTGGTAGCCAGCATGGAAAAGAGAATCCAACCCTAGGTGGTAATGATCAGAGGGAAACTTTCTATTCCAGGGGTTTGTTCTACTCCCCTCATTGGAAGAGTGAGGTGTAAAGCATACCCCTGTGTCTGGTAAATCCAATGACCCAGAAATCTGCTGGTTTTATGCAAATAATGCAATGTTGCAGTTTGCATCTTTAATATGTATGGCCTCATTTGCTTAAGCAGTATTTAATGAACAAGCTGTTTTATTTTCAGATTCTGCTCCTTCACACAGTATCAGTTGCTCACTCCCATGATAGGCATGTTAACAGCATCTGTTAAAAAAAAGTTACTATTTAGGTGCAGTAGTGCTAGAACAGTTTTTGGAGGGGGGATGCTGAACTGCACCCCCCCATTGTCCCTGTTCATGCCCATTCCCACCCCAAGATGGGGCTGGCAGCCAGGATCCTGAATGCAGGGCTGCCTCTTATCCAAAGCCCCCTGCCTCCTGCCCCATGAACATGCTACCCAGAGCACTGGGGCTGGCAGCGCTGTGGCTGTGCTGCCCAGAACATTGAGGTTGGTGGCATAGCAATCAGCTGAGGTTGTGGGGGAGGAAAGGCAGAAGGGGAGTGGTTAGGGGCTAGCCACCCATGCTTGCCACGCTGCCTGGCAGTTGAGCTGACTAATCTTGGCAAGGCTGCCCCAACCCCACTCCCCGGCAAGAACTCTGCGGCCAGACAGAAGGGTCCAATGGGCCTTATGTGACCCACGGGCTGTAGTTTATCCCCCTCTGCTCTAGACAACCCTCCTTTGTGTTGATAGTGCCACACTGTGCAAGTGTAAGTAACATGAAGATCGTGGAAAGCCCCTTCTTGCTGGCTCCAGATCCCAAAAAGCCAATTTGGGGGTAGAAAGAGACAGACAAGTAATTAGCTATTTGCTAAAACTTGAACGAGGCTCTTAGAGTTTTCATCAGCTCTGTGGCCTTTCCCTGTTGGGTGCATGCTGAAGCAACTGGATGGAAGTGTTGCATTGTAGGATTGGCAGTTGATTTGAAAGGGACTCCATGAACGCAGTGACCCTTTCTGTTAATATGGAAGATGTGAGGCAAAAGCAGGGATTGTAAGGGGATCCTTCAATTGTACAAGTGAGCGGAAAATGAAAACAGGAGAATTCTGTTTGTTAGTAGAGGATCCTGGTCAGAAGCCAGGAGAAACTGGAAAGAGAGAGACCACTGGTGTGTAAACTTACCTCTTGCATGGTGTGTTGCATCTATTCAGAAAAGCCAGGACAGGCTAAAACAAAAGGACATTTTGTTTAAACTCACCTGAAAGTCTCATCTTACTAATGACCTGTGTACTATATTCATAATGCAGAAAGGGCAGAAGTTCAAATTAAATATGAGATCCCTTTTCCCTCAGTGCGGGTTTTGGTACATTGGTTACTGAAGACCAAGGCTGCGGCACCCAGCAGGTCTCAGGTTACCTGCTTACGAATTCCAAACCTGTTCAATCTTTCAGTCTTTCTTCACCTACTTTTATTTTTAAACAACTATTTGTAGTTCAAGCAAAGACTTGATGGGATTATGTGTATGCAAGGGGGATTATAATTACAAAACAGACTTAGTCTAAAAGCAGTGGGAAGGCTTAGCAGAACCTGGTACATAGGTATTCCTGAAGCTAGCTCATAATCCTGAAATTAAACAGTTTATTGAACTCTGTTTTAATATCAGCCATTCTTCATGGGCAAGTTCTCCTAAGCAGGAAGAATCACCATACTGGCACCAGAGCCAGTTCTCATGCACAAAGCAACAGTGTACATATTTTGAGACATATTTTGGGTTCCTTTGGAATGAAAGGTGCTCTTGACGTTTCAAACAGAGGTGCCCAGAGCAAGGCCCAAAGGCTAATTGTGGCCCATCATATCCAAAAATGCAGCATGGAGCCACCCTCTCCCAGGAGCTGCAGAGTGAGGACAAAGCTGATAAATCACAAGTTTTTATTGCTGGTGAACTCAAACAGGCAATTTTAATCTATTAAAGAAGATACATGTACAAGCAAATATTAGGCCTTTTGGGGAGATTGATAAATTTTGTATGTAAATGTCTCTGCAAATTAGGTATGGCTCCCAGATTCCTGAGGAGCTGCTACTGTGGGCCTCACCGTCATGTCATTTGGGCGCACTTGTTGTAAGACATTCTCAGTAGTATTCTCTTGTATTATGGGCAGATTAAACAGAATGGGTAACTTTTTGACTGCAGCCCCATTGCTCTATAGAAAGAGAAATGAGACCTCTGTGGTGTAGCAGCAGATAGATACATAGCTAGCTTTTCAGAAGTGTTCAACACCCACAGGTGCCACTGAAAACAGGGCACTCAGCACTGTTGGAAATCTGGCCAGTAGTGTCTTTGTTAGAAGGTGCAAGGGCGTCATGGCATTAACAGAAACCCACTAATAGCAGGAGAGTGATCTAGGGGATGCTACACAATGATTTAAGAATGGACTGGGACCAATTCAGTTCCTGGTGTGCAAACTGCAAGTAAAGTGCACTTTGGGGGAGAGGGGGAATTAGACTCCCCATGAAGGTGCAAGAGCTGAACAGTATTAGTCAGTCATTGTATGCTTGAATAGGTGCCACAATGTAAACTTGGTGGCTACTGGGTCTCATTTACATGATATAGCCACAAGTCAAAGGCCATTCAGGGACCATTCCTTATTGTGAACCACTGATGATCTGCAGCTGTGCAAAAACAGTAGCACTTGGGGAATGGCTAAAACCAAAGGACACATGACTGAGGTGTTGGTCACCACTCTGGATAGCTGCTCTCCCTCGGAATCATAAATGTACATATGGTGGGGTCATTGGTTGTGCTGCCAATTCACTAAGTCACTTATACGGCATTGTTCCAGTGGAGCCTGCTCCGAGGGGAGGGCGTGACCTGATGCAGCTATTGTATACTGCATGGAAGGCAACGCTGCATCAGAGTTAAACTGATGAGCTAGAGAGCTCGTTGGATATAGACACTGTGGTTAGTCGCCTAACCACCATCTCTTCATGAATGCAAGTGCCAGAGTGGACAGGCATGCCCCAGTTCCTGTCTGCATCTCACCACCCCCCCACATATCCAATTCTACTCCCAACGGATTGCACCCATGTGCTACTTACCCATTGTACACCCAAGATTATTATTTTTCCGAGATATAAATCTTTGAAACCATCATTTACTTTGCTGATAAACTAAACCTATTGTTTCTTTTATTTCATAGTCCTGGCATCATAGCATGGAAAACACATTTCTATTTTCTTTTTGTTTGTTGGCTTGGTTTAATTTAATGAACTACAAAAAGGGAATACTAATACCTCTCTCTCTGTTCTGGGTATTTCAGGAGGCATTGCATACCACAGGACTGAGCCGATTAACTCCTTGCTGCCACTGTTTTCACATGTCCATTGCCAGCAATGGATGTCATGTGAAATTGGGCATACGGAGGACTAAAACAATTGCACTTTGTGCAGTCCAGAAAAAATTAACACTGTGGCTGTTGATCCTTGTTCAGAAGCAGCAGCATTGTCACCAAACAATTCCAGTGATAGCATCAAGGTCGCTTTTCCCTCTAGAATGGAATTCCACAGACCAACGGGCAGATCTATGGGCAGAGCACTGCCTAGAGAGAACGGTCATGGACCAACATGGTAATACTCCAGCCATTCCCAACACAACAGAAAAATGAGATTCCACAGTCACACCCAGATTCACATGAACCAAATTTGTAACTGGTGCAATGCCACTGACATTGGTGAAATGACACCTGGAACAAATCTGGCTCCTTCTGCCTATTTACAACACACCCTCCTCATAAAGCTGTGAATGAGAGAGAAGTCTATCACTTGGACATTGCATCCTGGTTGCTTATGGCAACAGCCAACAAGGGCATGTCTACACTGCATTCCTCTTTCAAGAAAGGAATGCAAATACAGCTGAGCGAAATTGCAAATGAAGCGCGGATTTGAATTTCCCATGTTTCATTTGCATAATCGTGTCTGGGCGCTATTTCGAAATACCCTATTTCGAAAAAAGAAACTCTGTCTAGACACGGTTATTTGAAAAGAAAACCCTTCTTTCAAAATTACCCTTAAACCTCGTAAGGACACGATTATGCAAACAAAGCATGGGAAATTCAAATCCATGCTTCATTTGCAATTTCACTCAGCTGCATTTGCATTCCTCTCTCGAAAGAGGAATGCAGTGTAGACATACCTGAAGAATCCCGAGGACAAACAATTAATCAGTGGCTGCTAGAGCTATGCATCTTTCAGCATCCCCACAGCCTCAGAATTGTTTCCAGGTGACTCAATTTGAAACTCTCGCTGGCTGAGAGAGCTCTAAAATGGAGCAAGAGAACCTTGCAGCCCTTCTGCTTCCCTGTTGCCCCTTCACAAACCAACCCCATCCTCATCTGGAGGAGACTGAGGAACAGCCCTACTGTGCTCCTTAGCAACTTTCTTTTTTCACAGACTCCCTGAACTGAGCAGCGAGGCACATACTGTGCCACCCCAAATCAGCTTTATGGAGAGGGTTTGCTGAACTTAGTTTAAAAGAGCATTTGGGAAGGGAAAATATAGTCAGTACTCGGAGAAGAACAGTGGGATAAGCTGAGACATGATCAACTGGTGCAGGAGGAAATGGACGTAGGCAATATAGTCTGTCCCAGAGGACTCCGACTGATTCCTGGTTGCTGTCTTAGCCAAATAACGACTTTGACATCAGGCAGTGCAAGTCAGAATTAAATCATCAGCATCCTTAGTGACAGAGAAATCCCTGGGAAGGAAGGCAGAAAACCCCAGGTGGCATCTACATCTCCATTGCATTTGTCTGGTTGGAACTGGAGTTGGAGCTTGGAGCAGCCCTTGTGATGGGTTCCACTGTGAGGGGAAGACTTCGACTCTCTCTCTCTTTGGCCACTTTGCCGTGATTCAGATTGCACAGAGTATGGTGGAATTCACCCGGCAGAAAAGGCCTTTTATTTATAAAAAGGAGTTGGGGAAACTCTCGAGTGAGCATCAGGACTAAGAATTGAAAAGTACAAGTTTCATATAAATCCAGCAAGATGTCCAGCACCATAACACACTCTGGTGCAATAAAGAGCTTCAGGGGAAGGCCAGGGAGACCACAAGAGGGGGCGCTGACTACCTCCCCAGTAGAGCGCCACTGTTGGGTCGTTCTCGACAGCAGATGGATTTTCCTTGATCCTGCAGCATCTCAGGCCCCATGGGAGGTATTGGTTGCAAGCAAGCACCTGAATATTGCCTAATGGAATAAGCCAAATCACTAATTTAGCTGGGGCACCCATGCCCACCCACCTGTTTTTGTATACATTTCAACTGTAGCATTTTCTCTCATTTCACCACAAAGTAAAATGCAGCTAACAGGACTTTTTCTTTTCATAATAAGTTAAAAGTCAGAAACTATTTAACCAACAAGTAGCTGACACTGCTGCTTGTGGCCAAAAAAGTAAAATCCATAGAAAATCTATTGGTTCCATTTGTATTCAGCTATATCCCATGCATGCCCCGTGAGAGGGGAATTGTGTATCATACAGGAAGTATCTGTCTTTGAGACCAGTTGACAGTTTTTAGGGTGTTGGAGGGTTCTCTAACTTTCGATGTGGGGGTGGGTTATTGTTCAATTGGTTTTGATATGGCCATTGGCCAAGGCGATTGTGGGGGTGGGATCCCCTGGCTCGGCATTTTCATCAAATCGCAAGCGTAGGGTGTTCCTGATTACCAGCTGCTCCATGATGAACGCAGCACAGAACCATGGGATGGCATACTCTAGGGTGATGAGTCCCATGAAGTCAAAATCAAATTGTGAGTAGTCCCAAGGGCAGGCATTAAACTGGCGCAGGATGAAGCCAGTAGTGAACTCCCAAAGGTATGTCCACAGGGTGTAAATGAGACAGCGCACTAAAATGTTACACTTGTCTTTTAGATAAAGGTACATCTTCTCCACGATGAGGATGGAGGTGCCATAGATGAAGAGCGCCCAAACACTGGTGACACCTGGGAACTTCCAGTTAAAGTTGACCACAAACTCCCAGGCAGCTGTAAACATCACCTCACAAAAATAGCCATGAATGGCATAAAGGTACCACCGTGAGAAGGCAGTCAGGGGTTCCGCAGCAGCCATCCTGCTATACAGTCCCCAGCCGGAACTCTGAAAGGAACAAAGACAGGCAGAAAATCAGTAAGGACAGCACTGGGACACACCGCAGTGGGAGGACTACGAGTAAATCAACCACATGGATGAGAGAGAAATTGAGAAACGAGACTTCTCCCTTTTGATGACACGATTAAGCAGAGATGCAAAAAATGTTAGGTTGTTTCATTCTTCTTACTGTTAATTTTAGTGCTGGTGGAAGCCGACAGACTGATGATTAAGAGGCTGGCAATCAGGCAACAGCAGGGCAGATTTCCTGCACAGTGCACTGCCAGGAGGACTTGGATTGAGCTGGTACTCAGTGGTAATGACTGAGATGAAGGGGAACGTGACTACAAATCAGCTTATTGAAAATAAATAATACTATGAAAAATACCGGAGGAAAAGGGCCTTTAATTCTGAAAGAAGCAGCACTGAGCCTTGCTTTGTGAATCTCAGGTAATATAGGACAAATGAGGCAAGTTAAGGTATTGAAATAACCTTTGTCCCATATAATGCTCTCTAAGGTTCATGCCCCCAGAAATATCACTTTAGTAAAAAGGGATTGGAGGGTGCCCTTGAACTAGCTAATGAAAGAAACAAAGAGGAGTGTTCTCCGCTGTTATACCTGTCCCTGTTCAACTGATAAGTTGTTGTACATTAAGAAACTGGCAGACATAAGATATCTGAGATTCAGGGAAGCATTTGATATAATACAGAATTGCCTGATTTACAGTCAGAAGGTGCAAAGGATCTATTGAAATACATTCAAATTTGGTTTTGGGACAAAGAAGCAAAAAGGGTGAAACACAAAGGGAAAGGTGAGGGTAGAGATAGAGGGTAGTCATTCTGACTAAGGGTTTGGAACAAGGACCCTGTGTCTATTACTGGGATGTAAGGTCCAGGAAGAGACATGAGGGTGGATATGGGAGCCAACAGCCTCCGTGGGCCTCTGGGAAAGGTGGAAGGGGCTCGGCTTCACACTCCTGGAAGAGGTGGGGCATCGGAGGGAAGGAGGAAGGCCTGGGGCAGCCAGCCCACTGCATATCACAGAGTACAGCATGTCCCAGCCCTCAGCCACACAGAGCATGGTGCTCTGGTGGCAATTTACAGTTAGGGTTGCCAGGTGTCCAGTTTTCTACCAAACAGTCCGGGTGTTTGCGCCCTCTGTCTGGTAGAAAAATTCAGAAAATACCGGACATGTACAATGTCCGATATTTTCTGAATTTCCGGCTGGGCGCTGGATGGAAGCCTGGCAGGGGTGAGGGAGGGACTAGGAGGCGGGCCCATGATTGGCGGTGGGAGCCCTGTGGTCGCGTGCAGAAGCCAGGAG